GAGAGAGAATCTTAAGCAGGCTCCACATTCAGCAAGGAGCCCAATGTGGGGCTTGATCCCATAACCCTGAGATCGTGACCTCAGCCAAAATCAAGGATCGCATGCTCAACTAAGACACCCAGGCACCCCTATATCTTCTTTGGAAAAATGTCCATTCAGGTCTTCTAGTCCACTTAAGTCAATTATCTGGGGTTTTGTTTTATTTTGTTTTGGTATTGAGCAAATATTTGGGATATTAGTCCCTACTGGATATATCATTTGCGAATATCTTCTCCCATTCAGTAGATTGCTTTTTGTTTTGCTAATGGGTCATCTTTTCATTTTCTAATTCTTATGCTTCAGAATACTGTCTTTGTGGTCACTTAATGAGCAAACTAAAGAAGTAAGGACTTTTAAAGCAGTCCCAGTGTTAAAAGCAGGTAGAAGTCCTTCTGACTAGGAACAACTGCAACATAGAAAGCTGTGTAATATGTTACATTGTGTTCCTTTTCTAAAGCCACTCCAAGCATTTGTTAGTCTGTTAATCTCACTGCTTTATGAGCTACAAACTACATACAATGACTGTACTACCAGTAAGATTGCTTTTTAACGGATTCCCAGATCCTTTCTGACTCCTAAGAGATCTAAGCAATTGTAAAAAAATAACTGAACTCATGTCTAAAGAAAAGGTACAGCCCAAATGAAAGAAAGTATGCACAGGGTGCCTGGGTGGCTCAGACAGTTAAGCGACCAACTCTTGATTATGGCTCAGGTCATAATCCCACAGTTAGTTCATGAGTTTGAGCCCCGAGTTGGGCTCTGTGCTGACAGAGCAGAACCTGCTTGGGATTCTCTCTCTCTCTCTCTCTCTCCTTCTCTCTCTGCCCTTTCCCTGCATACAAACATACATAAATTTGCATATAAATTTATTTTAAACCAGACCAAATTGCACAGATGTGGAGATTATAGAGGCGTAAAAAGTAAATGTGCCTTTGAATAGATCTAATTCTTGGTCTTGGATCATTAACAAGAATTTTTACTAGTGTCAAAGACAATGGGTGAGAAGAGATAGTTATCTACTCTATAGCTATTAAGCTAAGATCAAAGATACAAATTGGAATTTAATGATACAAACTAGAAAATAGCTAGAATATTATAAGACTATTACTTTTATCTCTTACCAGGATAAAGCTTTCTTAATGTTTATTTAGTCCTCTAAAAAACCCTGGACAAAATGATTTCCAACTAGCTCAAAATTTTTATTTGCTTGACAGGATACAGGTGCCACTCACAGGTTTGGTTCAGATCTATGCTAAAATATGGCATAGAAAACTTGCCAAGTTCTTCCTATAAAGATACTATACAATATTAGAATATTTTATAAAGGGTTTTAACCTAGTTATAAAAAAAAACATACAATTTTGACCTCTGCCAAAATGAGTCCTCAAATTCCTACAATGTCTGCAAAATTCTATCTCTGATTTCTGAAATGCTCCACTACTCTAACGGAATAAGGACACCTCAAACCCTACTCAAAAATTGCACATTAGCCAGGAAGCAAGTTGACAGAACATTACAAAGATGGACTGCTTTTATCCTTGCTAGAGAATTTCACAAAGTGGCAGGATAAATGGATGAAAGTCTAGAATCCTGAGAAGTGGTACAGACCATAATTATAAAGTCAATACATGACAACAGATAAAAATCAGTGATGTATATGTAAGAACCCTTGCCTTACCAGTTTGCTGTGAAGCATCTACCAGAAGCACAATTTTTGATCGATTATCAGGACCTGCTGCATTTGTCTCTTTCTGAGTAGCTACGTTTTTCACCAGTGGCCTTTTGCTTTTTATGTGCTGTTGTAAAAGCTGTTGCTGATTTAAGCACCAAAAAAATAAAAATAATAATTTAAAATCCTATTCAATGTACTAAATAAACAGTATAAAATACATACCCACTATATAACACACCTAAATGTATGTTCTAAATTAGTGGCTCCCAACCCATGGGGAAAAAGAGGGTTACCGTGTTAGGAATTCATGAAATTATCTGTAGCTAATCATAATATATTAAATAAGGTATTGTACACACAATTTAATACTGTTTTTCAAATAATCGTTAACACTATGACTAATAAATTATTAATTCATTTTTAACTGTTACTTGCAGTTTATATTTTTCTCAATCAGTAATAAATAATAGGAATATAATATCATATAAGGGGCTGTAAGTTTTTATTTAGAAGGGTAACAGAAAGGGTAGTAGCTTATCCAAGGGATAAATTTTACTTTCATGATGGCAAAAAAGTACAAAAATAATTTCTGCTTTAGAGCTTAAAAAGAAAATATAAAAAGGCTGATTCTTTCCTTCACTTTTTTAATCTGACTATTCATCACCTAGGTGTGATTTATATAATAGAACTCTGAATTTAACTTCCTAAATTCAAGTGCTAGAAATGTAATTTGAGAAATTATGTTTCTTCAACATCTAAAAGTTATATACTACTATTTTATTTTACATTCTTCAGAAGTCCCAAAAGTATTTCCCTTGACCCAGTATTTCCATGAACAAAGACTAAAAGCTTTTTAAAGCAACCTCTGCTGCATGTTTGTATTTTAATGTGTGAAAAGTATGGCAGAGGACAGCAAAGACTTTTCACTGAAGAAGCTGGTCTAATGGAATCTAGGAAAGCATCAACTCCTTAATGAAACAGTCGTAAGATGCATCTAAGAAATCACTCTGCCTTCAATTAGCTAAAAAGTACTGAGAAGAAACATGGTTTTTCTTATTTGCTTTGATATTAAGGCCTCAATATAAAGGTAACCTTTTAGTTAAGAAACAGTTACCTACAATAAATCTTAAATCTCCTGTGTTTTCAAGATCTTCATGTCTCCCTCATTTTTTTGTTTTTAATTTAGTCAAAAGGATGATCTTGACTAAGAGTGGCTTCACACATTTATCTATCATTTTCTTCAGCCCTAGGAGACCCTGTGTTCAATAACATAGCAAAGCAACACTTGAATAACAAAGTGCTATTGCTACTAAAAATTCACAGAATAGAAACAATGAAGTTGAAGGGATTTAATAGTATCTGATAACCAGACAGTATCATCTGATTTCTGAAGACTGAAATATATGAAGTGCATTAGTCATTCAATACCACTAGCATAGGATCCAAACTAACCACTTAGAAACACTGGTGGCACTATGCAATTTTATCACTAAATTAAAATAATTTGGAAATATTTGTGTATTATAATTATTTACAACTCTCTAAAGGAACCTGAAGATAACTGTAAATCATATCATCAATTAAGAATAAGGCACAATAAAAAACAGGAAAAATTATAAATGCTCTACCCTTGACTATTTTATATTAGTGAATGAAATGTTTTAGAGTAAATTCGGCATTAAAGGTTAATCAATACAAGTAGCAATTACTTACATTATTATTAACAACAGAAATATCAAACATAAAAGCCAATCAAAAGAAGTCACTTACTTTTGGTACAACTGGTCCTCTGTTACCATTTCTGCTTCGATGACTGGACAATGGGAAGACTTGTCCAAGCTGATTTGGACGCTCAGGGCATTCTGTGGTTATGGTATTTACAGTATTTGCAGCCTGAAAGGTGTTGGAGTAAGGTGTAGGAAAAGGATGATAGAATCCCATAACTTGGGCACATGGTGCTGGCATCAGCTGATAATATGTATACTCTGTAGAAACAGGTGGCTGAGCTGATATAATGGGGTAGGCAAGGTATGGTCCAGCAGGATTTGGATTGGGCTGTTGCCATCGCATATCATTGTTATACAATGGAAACTGTCTGTTAAAATCAAATGAAAACAGAACACATCTATTGACAAGTCTAAAAGTAATACTAAAGCACAATCTATTTAATTTGCTTTAAAAAAAAGGTATAGAACAGTGGCCTCATAATAAAAAAGATAAAATTATCATCTAATAAATTTCTTGGCTGTAATTACAGATTTTTAAGTATGTGTAATAACAACTTAAATGACAGTATAAAGGAATTCAACCTGATAGTGTTATTGCATTCCAAAATTTTAAAACTACATACCGTTCTTATTTATAAGTCAACCCCCTCAAGGTATTTCTGCCTAGAAGTTAAATATCTAGCCACTGTATCTGCCAACAAAGGCGGTCCAAATTTCCCATCCAATGCTAACTATGACAGCCTTCTGCAAAAAGCAGAGTAAGGTGATCACTGTGTAAGGTGATCATGACAGTGAGTGATCTGATTCTTCCACCTCTCATTCTTCAGCTCAGTCCCTGGCCTCCTACTCCTCTTCCATACTGCCCCAACCATTTGGCCAAGTCAAGCTCTTCTCCAGGCTTCCCCCAGTGGCAATGGAAGCAGGTTTCAGGTCCAAGGGAAAGAAAAGAAGAGGCAAGCCTGTCCACTGCCATCTTATCCCTAACATTAGAGCTTTCTCTAGTGCAATTCCTACAAAGCATCAGCAAGATTCTTCATTTCTCAGCAGTTCTTACAGAAGATTGCTGAAGAATGAGGGGTCATGGGGGAGGTGGAGCATTGAGCTTTTCCTCACTACTCCCACAACAAAGTGCAATGGATAAATGTTCACTGCCATAATTTAAAAAATATTTTTAAATAATCTGCTGGCTTATTTACTCATGAATTCTCAAAGGTTATTTGGTACAGTAAGAAAAATTAATCATACTTTACATTTGGCCATTTTATCAAATGCAAAAATAGCACTATTACATTTGGCTTATAAGTCACTTCGAACACAGCCCAATATAGGTCAAAATTTTGTGATATAATGCTAACTTCAATTGAAAAGGATCCCCTACTCTTTGTCCAATCCCCAATACTATAATTTTAGAGATTATTAACTAGAATATTTAATAATATCTGATACAATAGTTCTTGGTCTCATATCTCTCACATTCGGAATATCTGAAAGAATGTGCCCTGACACACTAGTGTGCCACATGATGGCTTAAAGAGGTCTAGATTGCCTTTGCCTTCAGGGTGATGGGACAGAGGCTAGAGCCCAGCTACCCCATCATCCATTGATCCCAGAATGCTAGAGATGCCTAATTTTCTATGTGTGATATTACTCGAAAGAGGCTGAAAGTACTTTTAGACAGCAACAAAATGAACTACACCAATGAAGTACTAATCACTCAGTCTAAACAAGGTTAAAAAGGCTATCATGACTATAACAAGTTACACCCTAACCACTAGGTCACACATTATCTGAATTGCAAGCATTCTGCTAAATCACCCTGTGACTATAGCACAGAAGCTAAATTTAAACTAGAATCAGGGCCTAGAAATATATGTTAACCATAAAAGCTTCAATGTTAAGGACTATCCCTTGGTATTTTCTTCTCATGCCAGACTGTCCTGGAAATTGTGATTAGATACCTAATCTTAAAAAAAGGGTTTCTGCTCATCTCTTTCTGAAAAATTCTTCCTCCCTTTGTACCAATTTATTTCAAACTAACTTTAATGACTTATTATTGAAGATATGCCCAAAAAACTCCATTCCCTCTTAGAAAGACTGAGAAAACAATCTATGTTAATAATTTTCAAATTTCTACATCATTTGGTTTTATTTACTTCTCTTAAAAAAGAGAAACAGCTAATGTTTAAAAGGCACCAAAGGTGGGGTGCCTGGCTGGCTCCAGTTGGTGAGGCATGGAAGTCTTAACCTTGGCCTTGTAAATTTGAGCCCCAGGATGGGTGTAAAGATTACTAAAAAATAATAATACTAAACCTAAAAAAAAAAAAAAAATAGAAAAGGGAAAAATTAAAAAGTATGCCTCTCCAACTGCTGTATTTCCCTACCCACCCCCATGAAAAAGAAAATAATAATAAACAAATTACCTATTGGACTGGTTTTCCTGCACAAATGGATAACAAGTAATCAGGTAGCTTGGAATTGGAGTTGGTTCTACACCAGAAACATTTCCATTATCATTTGGAAGTGCCATAGGGATCACAAATGTATCAGGATTTTTCTTCTGAGGAATAAATGGCTCTACCTCAGCTGACAGCTTGACATTCTTCAAAAAGAAAGTAAAACACACTATTAATACATGAGCAAAAAACTTAATACTAATTCACGATTTAACAACAGAAGACTCAGTGTTTACAAACAGTAATTAGATCTCCTCAGTATTTACAAAACATCCAAAGGAACAGCGATGTCAAATTAAAATAACCAAATATGGTAGGCAAAGATATCAAATAAAACAGGAGAAAACATATCAAAAGTTGCTGCATTTTAATGAAATCATTTCTTACATAACCAAAGCTGTTAAAACAATAAAGAGTGTAAGGCAGTCAGACTTGAGTCCAAAAATAAGGCTGACAGTAAGAAAACTAGCTCTTCAGACAAAACAACATGCTTTTAACTAATTTTGTTGAGGGGAAAAATCATTAAACAGAGTTCTGAAGATAATCACCTTATACTTGTTTGAATAGTCTAAAAAATAGACTATTTCTGTCCATTTTAGGAAATTAGATTAGTATGGTTTAATTAAAAAAGAAGGAAAGTGTCTACAATTAATGAAAAACTTTTCACAGTTAAACTGAGAGAAAAAGAATGAGTATTTCAGTTTTCCAGTAGATAACTTGAGTAAACTGAAGGAATCCAGAACTCCCATTTTAGCTTATTTTATATCTTTTTTTAAAAACTTTTTTTAATTTATATCCAACTTAGTTCACATATAGTGCAACAATGATTTCAGGAGTAGATTCCTTAATGCCCCTTACCCATTTAGCCCATCCCCCTCCCACAACCCCTCCAGTAACCCTCTGTCTGTTCTCCATATTTAAGAGTCTCTTCTGTTTTGTCCCCCTCCCTGTTTTTACATTATTTTTGTTTTCCTTCCCTTATGTTCATGTTTTGTCTCTTAAAGTCCTCATATGAGTGAAGTCATATGATACAGGTCCTTCTCTGACTAATCTCACTTAGCATAATACCCTCCAGTTCTATCCACATAGTTGCAAATGGCCAGATTTCATTCTTTTTGATTGCCAAGTAATACTCCACTGTATATATATACACACCACATCTTCTTTATCCATTCATCCACTGGTGGACATCTGGGCTCTTTCCATACTTTGGCTATTGTTGATGGTGCTGCTATAAACATTGGGATACATATGTCCCTTCGAAAGAACACACCTGTATCCCTTGGATAAATACCTAGTAGTGCAATTGCTGGGCCGTAGGGTAGTTCTAATTTTAATTTTTTGAGAACCTCCATACTGTTTTCCAGAGTGGCTGCACCAGCTTGCATTCCCATGTAACGTTTCTTATAAAAAAATCTACAGAAACTTATAAGATATATTTTAAAAACTCAAGTATTTTAGGAGGAATATGTGGGTGACAAAACTATAAAGACAAATAAATAAGATCCACTAAGGTGAAGTTAGGAATTACTCATATGAAATTACTCCTATGAAAGGGAGTTGTGATCACAGGAGGCACTAGAGAGCTTCTGAGTGCCTGGCAAAGCTCTATATCCTCACTTGGGTGATAATTACCAGGCATTCGCTTTATATATAATTCATTAAGCTGTACATTGTTTTTATGCAGTTTTCCTTCTGTATTTAACAATTTTTTAATTATAAAAAGAAAAAAATCTATAACCACATTTTGCAAAAGTAGAATGTTAAAAACCACATAAATATTACAATCTAAAAAGATACTAAATCTTTAAGAAACCAGTAAGTGAAATGCAATCCAATGTTTCAAGCACTGAAATCAATTACAAAGCAACAGTCCTAACTAGAACTTTTTCCCAACAAACCCACTAGGGTGGAATTTATTGGAAGCTCTGAGCAAGGCAGAGCTCCTAGAATAAATTTCAGGCATGTTTCTCACAAAAGAAATCAGTAACAAATCCAAGAAAATCTGAAGACAAAATCTGAAGACTTGATATGCTCCATAGAATAGGCAACTTTTCTTCAAAAAAAATATTCTCTAAAAAGAATCCCCTAGAAATATTCAGAATGCTTGTAAAAAAAAGGTGGAGAGGAAGAAGCAATCTGAACTATTTACAGCAGTATTAACTCAATAACCTTCCTACCTGATTTAACTTTAAAATCTACTTTTATAGTATTAACCAAATCAGAAATAGAGACAGAACTTGCACTACAAATACAGTATCTATGAGCTGAAGCTGGTTTCTTGAATTTCAATATTGGAAGCAAAAATTCCTTCAAATGCTTAAATAGCCTAAGTCACTAATTTTCACTGTGATAATCATCAGAATTCAAAAATTATTCATGTAAGGTATAAAATATCAATGTAATAAATGGGCCGAAAATGGGGGGGAAAGCTGATTTTCAACAATAAGGCACAGATAATGGAAACCTGCTTTATATAGTTCATGCATAGGCATAAAGAGAGGGAAAACTTAAATCACATTTTAAGGACACTAAAAATGTAATTTTTAGGATTTCTTTGAAAAATCAAAAAGTCCTTTGAACATATAACTCTCTGAACAATTTTATAAATCTGTATTAGAAGGCATTAAGACTCTTTTTAAAAACAAGGAACATGATTACATAAAATTTCTATATGAAAAAGACAAAATACTAATAGAAAGAAGTAAGATAATTTAAAGATCGCCAAGTTTCCTGACATCTCCTGCCAAAGACCAACTCATAAAGTACACTGGTAATAACAAATTCAAATTCTTGCTTGTCAAAAGTTGCAACAAGTTTTTATACTTAGTGTCATTTTACTTTATAACAGTTTTATCAACTTATCAACCCGCTTTCCAAAATGTGGCATGTATAACTTATAACTGGTATCTGTACATATACACCGCATATACCCTTAAATATTAAAGTTTGCAATGATTTCTATTCTCAGTCCAATTCTAATATCAGAGTTCAACAATAAAACTCACAAACACTGAAGTGATTCTTTGTTTTTAGCAAAAAAGAAAAGCTGCTGTAGTCAACAGCTGCACAAACAGAAGATGTCACTAGTAGGAACAGACTGGCAAACTTTTTCCTATAGTTACAACTCTGTATGGTCTTAAAAATTGTTTGTTGTGACTTTGGGGACTTCAGTATCATACACTAAAATGAAGCATCTGCTATTCTCAGTCCTAAAAAGTAATGTTATGATCCCGAACTACTCTTAAATTCCACATAATAACGTCCATATAGGCAATATGTTAAGTAAGCAACAAATTCTGGCAGTATTTCAATTATGTTAGTATAGAAATCAAAGAAAAATGTCCTACATGGTGGACAACAAAACATTATGAAAAAATGAAAAAAAAACGAAACTACTTCATATAATGATATTCCTCAGTTTGAATTTGTTTTTTAGTCTTTATTTTTCAAAGATCTATCTTTTAGAAATCAGAAATTTTATAACAGGGAGTTGTCTCCTTAAAGTAAATATAAATATAAAATAAGTTTAAACCACACAAAGTCTATTCCTGTACTACTATTTACTTTAAAAAAAAATCTACATAAGTAAAATTATCTTTATCTTTCAGAAGTTATTTCAGAATTTTCCAAATTAATGAAAAATCATAATAATCCCAGAAAACTGTACGGGGG